ACACACATGCGTAACACAACACACACATGTATGTCTAACTCACCCAGTCTTCATCCACGCGCAGTTGCTGCGATGAAGTGTCTTCAGCAACAGCTGCTTTCAGCAAAGCCTGTTCAGCATAGAACTCCTGCAAAATTAGGTTAAAGTGATTACGTCACCGTAAATGGTAAAAAGTAAAAAAAATATTTCCACTTTTTCACAAAATGTAAGTAATTCTGTTCATTTTTTATGGTTAAATTGCCGCATTATATTTCTTATTTTACTATGTTGTTCGATGGAAACATACACTTGTGACTCATACATAGCCCATAGCAAGCAATTAATGTCAGGATAATAATATCAAATCGTCCAGGTTTTATGGATACATTTAGTCCCATTATTAGTACTTGCTTTTAATGTAAAAAAATAGCAACAACATTTTTTACAAATATACACCATAGAAAATTCGTGAAATAAGTGAAATAGCTAGGACGACTTAGACGACTTAGCTAAGTCTTAGCGCACATTTACTCATTAAGACAACACTGATGGTTCTATCATACATGCAGGGGACCTGCGAATCAGTAGCATCTATAGACACAGACTTCTATATATGCCCACAGAGGTTTCCCCGGGAATTTCAGAAGCCATGTCGATTATGGATGGATGGGGAAAGACCCAGGAGGGGGTACGTTGCATCAATTCAAGTCTATTAATTAGTATTACACGTACGTGTCAGAACGTACAATATGGTTGTTGTAGGTATACATCTCTATTAGGGCTGTAACGATACACAAGCCTCATCGATTCGATCCGGTTCTCGATATTAGCCTCCGATTCGAATTCCATTCATTCGATTACCAACAAATATGAAAATGTACTTATTTTTTATATTTTCATTACTTTGCAACAATAAATTGTTAGAAATTGCCAATGAATACTAAATGGTGAATAGACTGGAGAGTCTAGAGAGTATATATACACTGAACAGACGCTGAGTAACATTGGTGAGTAACACTCCAGAGTATATAGCGTAGTGCCGCCATCTATTGGAGGGAAAAAGTGGTATCGAAGTGGAACCGAAAATACGGGGGGGAAATATCGAGGATCGGATCGAGGAAAGAGAATCGCGATCCGATTCGATTTCGGTGGATCGTTACAGCCCTAATCTCTCTAGCCACATATCTTCATCTTACAAGAGGGAATTTATTGCTATATATTGCATAGACTATTGCAGTGCATTAATTGCACCATGAAGAATATTCGTAATAATCGAGATACGTTATGCTAGGCGTTGAAAACAAAGGAGAATCCTTGCATGGTTAGTGAGTTAGCTTATATAGTGTGGGTACACTATCAGTAACATAGCCTTCATATTACCCTGCACCGCCTTTACAACATCCAGTGCACTTCTCGGCCGATTAGAAAATTCCACACAACACCCACGTTGAAGCAGAACCATGATGGTGTTTACATGTGTTTACATATCTACATCTGATATGGTTAGGGTTAGGGTTAGGGAGTAGGTGTAGGCGACTCCCTAGACTCGTTAGTGGAGTAGGCGAGGTACGTACGGTCCGGCATATTAGATAGTACCAGGATACGTTCCGGTATACCGGACCATACCCAGGGTAAGTTCCGGCAGTACCCTGAGGGACATAGGCCCTCTCAGCGGTTCTATAAGGTATACTTCGTATCTTGAAAGACAAATGCCTGTGTTTGAATGGTGTAACAACAATCACGATGGACGGGGATTGGGCCCTGGGTTACTGGTACATACAGTTGCAAGGCAACCACTACTGCTACTAGTGCTGAGAGGGATCTATGTCCCCTAGGGTACTGCCGGAACGTACCCTGGGTACGGTCCGGTACACCGGAACATACCCTGGTACTATCTAATATGCCGGACTGTACCTCACCTACTCCACTAATGAGTCTAGGGAGTCGCCTACGCCTACTCCCTAACCCTAACCATATCAGATAGTTACCAGGGTACGTTCCGGTATACCGGACCGTACCCAAGGTACGTTCCGGCCGTACCCTGGGGGACATAGACCCTATGAGCGTAGTAGTAGTAGTTAGTACTAGTTCAACCAGTGCCGTAGTTTGTAGTTTGTAGTTTGTAGGGTGTTGGTGACGTCTTGAAGTTGAAAGACAAATGTAAGACGATGTGTTGATTGCAAAATTTCATCGGATCTCTATGTGGTTTCCCGCAAGAGATGTGGTGGGTAACCGGGAAATGCATGTGTATCTAGGACTAGGATTCTAACCTAGCGGTGAGTATGCGGTTATAGTAGCGTAAAAAGTGGTTGTCGTATACTCTTAATGACTATAGCCTATACTCTATAGGCCTAATGAGTAATGTTTACCTTCAACGCATTTGATGCTGCAAGCGATAACGTTGGAATATCATCGTCGTCGTCCATTTTGATGAGCTTGTGACAATAATGTAATTTCAGGCGACTATAAAGTGAGAGTTTTGATACTCGAGTTTATTACCAGAGAAATACTCGATACAGATAGATGACCTAGACATCTATATTTTATCTAAGAGTGCATTTCAGTGATGTTTCGCATAGGGAGCAGCCATGATGGAACGCGTGTGATAGAAAATTCGTTGATGCCACGCGACCGTGGCGCCGCGTCGTGTTAGGTGCGTGTTCCACTCGGAACTCGAATAGGTATTTATTTGCCATAGATATCATCAGGAGTAGATAATAGAGATCATTGATATAGATAATAGACAATAGTCTCTATTATCTACTCCTGATATCATCATATAACACGGAATAATAAGAAAATAAATCATTCAAAGAATTTGCGCGTTGCCATGAACACGGATGACGAAAGGAACTTAAACACACAACAAGCACGACCTGGTGCACACACACGCACATACACGCAACACCACGCGACGAACGCACCGCTAATGCGCACTGCGCAACGCACACACACGGACAGCACTGGGTGACACACAAAAATATAAGTAATAAAAGCTCTAGCCTTGCTCGTTGTATTTCATGAGCTAGGGTTTTTAAAATGCTTTATGCGAATTTGCCTGAAAATTATTGTCACCTAGAAAGCTTCAATTCTAATGTAGATAATCGAACAAGAAGCAATACTTAAAGAAGGGCTTCTCTTAGTATGGCTTTGATATAATGATACCTTTATAATTCAAATAGATTGTTCAGAGCTATTAATGCTATTAAACGTGGCCCACACAACCGATGAGGAGGGTTGAGAGTGTGGAAGGCCGAGTTCGCGGCTGGGGGGGGTGTACCGCGCACGGCCTATCTGACACGTGACTGCCGGCGGGGTGTCCGCCCACCGCCGCGGCCCACCCTCGAGCGGGAGCGCGGAGGCATTCGGCCCAGTCCGCACACTGGTCTGCAGACACAGGTGGATCCCACAGCTCAGCGGAACTGCGCCGTAAGGCTGCGGCGAGAATTTAACAGTGGAGATAACGAACTCGCAAGCGTCACTACAGATTTATTACTCGTACGCGAGTGACTTTTTGACATTTACTGTTCTATCGGCGATGAAATAAGCACACATATTGGTTTGGGCGCACAACACAGTTGGGCAAAGTTTCCATCCATACTCGATCGGTAAGCGCCCTCTGGTAGCCTGATGTCGAAGTTCTGCAGAATGCTTGTGAAAGAATAATGAAGCACGTCCCGCTCTGCGGCGAGTGCCTCTCCGGAAACGCGAACAGACTGTGCAGCAAAATAACAGAACACCATCATCAAGAGGTTCTTCAAAGGTTGGTTGGTGGAGGGATGGGGTATGTCTGTTGCGTGACAGGCCCCGCGCCGCCGCCCGCGAATTCTGAGTTAGGGTTTGAGTCCCAGTGCGTGAGAAATCTCTGTATTTCCGTGCCTTTGAGATGCATTTAGGACATTTGTGCACAGTAATGGTGGTATTGCACCACCATTAGACACGATTGCGAAATAAGATGACTCCATCAAAACATGGTCCAGCGGCACGTTTGCACCGGTCAGCCATAATTAACACATTAAAAAAAAAAAAGCAATACGGCCAGCTAAAGCTCCTGATAGGGCAATGGACAGTGCAACGTCACAGCATAATGAGGCGCAGGGGCGACCTATATAGGACGATAGGAATATTCGAGAGAGAAGGCAGGGTGTGGCACCCGAGAACGATTGAGTGTATGTAGCCACATATGTATTAGAATAAAGCCGTCTATAATATATAAGACATCTTTGACCATCACTGTCTACGTTCATTGACCGACGTGTACGAGTAACGTACGTACGAAAACCAGCCTTACATTGGTGCCGTGACCAGGATTCGAACCTGGGTTATTGCGGCACCAGCCTTACTCATTATTTAAGGAAATCGCATGTGCGTTTTAGCGCCAATTTAGTGCCAATCATGCGAAATAATCCCAACCCCAAGCTTGTGGGCTTGGCAGTATCGCCCAATCAGCACCCTCCCCCAAACAGCAACCGAGCTTTTTTAACCGAAGCCATACGATGGGATGGTGTCACTATTCTCCTTGCCGTGGTGTCGCCATCTTGCGGCCGTTCAAGTAATCTCACCAATGGAGAACGGGATCAGTGCTTCGTTCTGCACAAAGTCTCCACGCTCGTCCAGGTGGCGCTCTGGGCGAAACTTCTCCGGTTCGGGGAAGTATTTCGGGTCGTTGAGGATGGCCGTGAGGTTAGCAATGACCGTAGTACCGGCGGGAATGACGTAGCCCCCTAGCTCTATCTCGGCGGTCGTGCTGTGTTTCAGATTCAGCGGCACAATGTTTCCTAGGAACAGAAAAAGAAAAACGCAGATGGCGTTCTCACGGACTATCTAGACATTTAGTAGTGTCGCTCACTCCATTTGCCCTGGTTTGTACATTTAAGTCAAATGGTTTTTATACAGGGTGTACCGGGAGTTTCCAGGATTTTCAAATTAGAAAAACAGAGGATTACATTACCACGTAGCATGTGTCGTCATTTAAACACATTCAAGGTGAATATACGTCACGAACCGCCTGCAGAACGTAGCGGTGGAAGCAGAAGAGGTGGTGCAATGTCCTTATACTTATAGCTATTCACCTCCTCTTCCTTTCTCTCTCTCTCTCTCTCTCTCTCTCTCTCTCTCTCTCTCTTTCTTTCTCTTTCTCTCTCTCTCTTGCTCTCGATCTCTCAACCTCTTCCTACCCTCACTATTTGTTACTTTCTCTTCTTCTCTCTCTCGCTCTCTCTCTCTCCATCCCTCTTCTCACCTCTCTCTCTACTCGTTTTTCTTTCTCTCTTTCGCTCTCTGTATGTGTGTGTCTTCTTTAGTATTTTCAACGAATATTTCTGTCATACCTAATCAGGCCTGCTGTTTATGAATGCCACCTACTGGTGCATTCCACCTACACACCACGCCAGCTTTCTTTCTCACCTACTCTCTGCACTTCGGCTATTGTCGCCCGCGTGTACGGCATGTTGTCCTGGTCCGCCATGCAGGGTAGCCTTCCTCGTCCGATGACGTCATCGATCTCGACCTGCACTCTCCGCAGGACGTGAGGGTATTTGAGCATGAAGAGCAGACACCAGCGTAGCGTCGTCATGACGGTGTGCGATCCGGCGTGAAACAGATCACGCAGGGAGATGAGCAGCTGAAAGGCTGAGAGATGGCGCCGACATGAGTGAGTTTGTGTGTGTGAGTGTGTGTGTGTGTGTGTGTGTGTGTGTGTTTGTTTGTGTGTGTGTGTGTGTGTGGTGTGTGTGTGTGGTGTGGTAAGAGAGGAGCAGTCTCCCTGTCGTGTGTGTGTGTGTCGTGTGTGTGTGTGCTGTGTGTGATGTGTGTGTGTGTGTGGCGTGGGTTGGGTGTGTGCGCAGGTTGTAACTGACGACGTTTGTGGTGCGTGCGTGTATGTGTGGCAGCGCTTGACTCACCGCGTGAATGCTGAATCC